TAATTTTACTAAACTGCTACTTTATTTAATAAGTATACCTCTAGGTAAAAGGTTGAAAGATAAGTAAAGAATTATTATGTATTATTATTTAATATTATAAAGTGTTAAATGGTTTTTCTTTTTTATTTTCAACTAGTAGTATTTCTTAGAAATTTTTTGAGTCCTTTTTATGCCTTAATAGTGAAGGTAGTTTTGCTACCATTTGGAAAAAATTGAATTTAAATTCAAGTTTTCTTTTTCAATAATATACACTTTGGAAACTGTTTTCACCAGTATCTTTACCAACTCCGCCAGTATTGTGGAGACAATAGATATTAATAGTATTCCCTATGTTTGTTCTAATTATTATACTGTGTTTTATTTTAACAGGTTTCAAATCAGAAGCACAGTTACCGAAAAAGACTCATCTCACAATTGTGTATGGATCCATGTGTCAGACATTTACGACCAGCTTTGTAGTGTGCATTCATACAGTATTTGTGAGAAGACGTTGTCAGTATAATGGTAGAGGATCAGAGAGAAGTATGTAAGATATTAAGGAGGGTATAAATCCAAAGAGAAAAGAGATATATTTGAGGTCAAAATAACTGCTGAAAAAAATATCAAGAGAGCTCAGCCAACTTTAATCTTAGCTGAGAAACAGGATGGAAGGCTGTGATTTCCATACTCTTCAAGTCTATTGGGTAATCAGTATTGTGTTCTAATTATTAAAGTCCTAGAAATAGAGTCAGAACACCTGACCTTGAATTTTCATTCTATCAATAATAGAATTTTCATTCTGCCATTCTATTTATCTGGGATTGGCTATGAATTCTTGGTGTTTCAGGACTATACCAGAGTTGTATTTTGTCCTAAAAACTGCCACTGGAGTTCATGTGGTGTGTTTCCACTATTTATTCTTCCACTTGTAGCAGTGTATCAGACACAGATAGAAATACATTTTGAATAGCTAAATGAAAAAGAGGGAAAAAATGCTTTACTAAAATCAGAACCATTTTATCTTATTCATCAATATGGTCATGATTATGATCAAAAGCATCATAAAAACCACCAATTGCATCTTTTTTTCCTTTAATTAAATAACCAAGAGAATATGTCTGCCATATCGCTAAGAGAATCTTGTATAATGTGAAATTATAGGGAATCTACTTTGGTAAGAAACATTTCTCTTTTTAAATACTATCATTCAAAAAAAGATTTGATTAATAAATATAAAAACGTAACCTGTCCTATTGGCTAAGGTATTAACATTTTGTAATGCAAAACAGGTTTTATTATTTTTATGATGACTGTTTTGCAGTTTTCAGCAATTCCTCAGAAATTACTGTAAAAGGTTTTATTGGAACATAAATAAGTTTCCTTATATGATGATTTGTCTCTTTTAAACTTTCCCATTGATGTTATTTATATTTCCAGTGGGGATTTCCATAATTACTGGAGGGATATTCTCAGCCTTCTAGTGTTTATTAATATATGAACAGAAATTGTGTCAAGCTCACTGAATTTTTCACTTTAAAATCATTACTGTTATGCGATTTCACTTTTATAAAAAATGTTAATTAAAGAATCTTTGGCATTTAAATTATGTGCAACGTATAATTAGCACTATTATTGTTTGCCCTCTCCCCAAAAATGATGATGAATTTGGCACTGGGGAGGAAGTAGTATAGTAGGTAGTTTTGTGTTGAAGAATAAATTTTAGATCTTAAATATTTAAAAATCTAAGAGACAGAGAGTACATTTTGGTGACGTGACTATTACTTTTCTAATACACTAACTTGGGTTGTCACTATCTGGAAAGAAATGTGGAAATGAAAAGTTTATTAAAGCTGAGTTAAATTAAGGCAAAAAGTGGGATTTTGAAAAGATACCATGTATTTTAATTTTGTTTTTGATTTAAGTTTTTTCTCCTGCATCCTTAAAATGGAGTGCATGAGTTGAAGAAATCATGATAATCAAAGAAATAGGTCTGTATGTTGAATGTCCAGCTGTACTTATCTAGAACAGATGGGCTAGGCAACAATAACCTATAAGTGAAAACTAAAAGCATGATTTTAACAACAAGTGATGATGTAAAGTCAGAGTGCTCTAGGCTGTCCAAAATTTATCATACATCCCTTGTTAATACTACAGCCAATATGGAATTGTGCATGAGAATGAACAGAAAACATCCACGCTTTTCCAAGTGACAGAAAAGTGAAAAGAGCAGCTAGTAGACCTTATGTCTAAAGGATAATTCAAGATGAGGAATGACCATGCTACAGAAAACACTTACCTCTTCAAGAAACACCATCTCCTCTTGCCTGAGTTATTGCAATAATTTTCAAAGTAGTCTTTGAGCACCTACATAGCAGCTGTAGTCGCTAAGTCGTATCTGACTCATTGCGACCCCATGGACTGCAGCACACCTGGCCTCCCTGTCCTTCTCCGTCTCCTGGAGTTTGCTCAAACTCAAGTCCATTGAGTCAGTGATACCATCCAATCATCCTCTTCTCCTCCTGCCTTCAATCTTTCCCAGCATCAGGGTGTTTTCTAATGAGTGGGCTCATCACATCAGGTGGCCAAAGTATTGGAGTTTCAGTTTAAACAAGTCATGCCAGCCCTCTACTAAAACTCTCCTTCACTTCCCACATATCTAAAAATAAATAAAACTAACCAAAAAATTAAAGACCTTTACAACTGTATATTGACCAAGACAATTGCTGGCCAGTATAGCATGCCATAATCTTGATTGCAAGGAGGGTGTTAGTCTCCCAGTCATATCTGACTTTTTGCAACCCCATGGACTGTAGTCTGCCAGACTCCTTGGTCCATGGAATTCTCCAGGCAGGAATAATCTGATGTTCTTTGATATTAAATCTTTATTGAGCTTAGGTGGCCATATCTTCTTATGTCTTTTGTCTTATATAGAGATTTTATTTTTACCCAGAGACTGAATATTTAATGCATCAAAAATATTAAATAAAAATAACCAAGTATTACTCTAAAAGAAATGTACTCCTTCAAGCTGAGGGTCTCTTCTTATCACTTATTCGATTTATGACAATGGTTTCCTTACAGTTTCTCAGTCACAGCCAGCATGCTTGGCTCTCAGGGCCTTTGAGATCCCTGGTCCCTTTACAGGAACTATTCTCACCCTAGATTTCTGCAGACTCTTTCAAGTCTGTGTGCAAGTAGCACACCTTAATGAGGCTGACTCTAACTACCTTATTGAAAATTCCCAACACCTTTCCTGTACATTCTATTTTCTTTTTAGCATTTATTTATTTTGGCTATGCTGGGTCTTAGTTGTGGCTCTCAGGTCTTCACTGAGGCATGTGGGAAACTGACCAGGAATAGGACCCAGATCCCCTGCATTGGGAGCACAGAGTTTCAGCCACTGGAACACCAGGGAAGTCCCTGTATGTTCTTAGTCTTCCTCATTTTCTGTATTTTTCCATAACTCTAATCATAGTGTAGTATATTCAACAGTTTACTTACTTACTATCTTTCTTGTATAGCATCTGACTTCCTCCGTATAATGCAGGCTGTAAAAGTACAGAGAGTTTTGTTTTCCTCAGAATCTGAGAATAGAACCTACAATGAAGTAAGAATCTTTGTCATGGTTGAAAAAAAATAAGTATTTAAGGACGAGTAGTAAAAATGTAATGTAGGTTCTTTGGTACAAATTATTAAAGATCTCCTTGAATCTGCCTGCCAATGCAGGAGGCACGCATTTGATCTCTGGGTCAAGAAGATCCTGTTTAGAAGGAAATGGCAATCTACTCCAGTATTCTTCCCTGGGAAATCCCATGGACAGAGGAGCCTGGCAGGCTACAGTCCATGGGGTTGCAGCAGTGACTAAAACAGCAACAACGAAAGGACTCTCTTAGGCTGACATTCCCTGTATTTGATGCTTTACCATATAAAGCCCATAGGGTGAAGTCTCCTCATTTTCCATGTGCACACTGGTTCCCACACTAACCTTTTTGGAACCAGAGACCAATTTTGTGGAAGATAATTTTTCCATGAACCAGGGGTGCGGAGGGTAGCTTCAGGATGATTCAAGTACATTACGTTTATTGTGCACTTTATTTATTTTTTTAAATCATTTTACTATATTCTTTTTTAAATTATGAAAATATGATAACACATTTACAGGAGACTTGGAAAATATAAGAGAAGATCATATATTGCAGTTATTTTTAAGTAGATAAATTAAGATTTTTAGTTGGAGTTTCAATATCAAACTCTCAAAAATTAATAGCATGAATATTTAGAGAAGTAGAAGGATATAGTAAACCTGGAAAACACTATGAACCAATTCAGCATAATTAAGATTTATATAATTTTCACACAACGGTAGGATGCAAATCCTATTCAAGTTCCCATAGATAATAAACTGGGAGATACTGGAACATATCCAGGGATGGAAGACCAGGTGTGTACTTTACTTCTAATCTAATGCCAAGGCTGATCTGACAGCAGATACCAGTCCATGCCCACAGGTTGGAGATTTACCTTATGCCCTCGGAGAAAGGAAGAGGCCAGTCCGATCATTTCTTTTCACAAAGGCACAGGCGACTCAACTAGATCTGAGTAACTCAGGGAGTGTGTGATGGATAAGAGCCCTGTGAGGTCCCTCTGGGATTATTGCTGGGAACCTTCCTGCTGGCGATGGTAAATTCTTGCCCGCTTTTTTAGGTTGTAGTTACACAGGAAGTACTAACAAATAAACAAAAGAGAGCCGAGAAGGGCACCCCCTCGGATGATTGTTCAGACGGAGACCGCCCAAATAGAAAACACACGCTGCTTCCCCTGGGCCTGACGGATTTGGCAATCAGAGTTCAAGTTCACAGGACAGGGGCCGGGCCTCTGGCGGCAGGAACTGGACTCGGAGGCGTCCCTACTACTCGCTCCCGGAGGAGAACCCCAGGCATGCCTTTCAGTGCCTCGGCCTCTGAACCGTCTCACTTGGGGAAATCCAGCCGCAGCCCACGGTCACCGGTGCAGGAATCCAGATGCTGGCCAAGTACAGCAGCACGCGGGACATGCTGGACGCTGATGGAGACACCACGATGAGCCTGCATTCGCAAGCCTCTGCCACATCCCAGCAGCCAGAGCTTGGCCATACAGGTACCTGTCGTCCAAGTTGGTCAGACCCTTGAGAAATGCACGAGATGAGCCAGGGTACCAGCTTCCTAGCCTAGGAGGGTATGAAGTGGAGGAAAAAGAGAAAATGTTTCTGTGATTTACAATGGTGCATATCTGTGCACTTAACTACAACTTGTATGCCACATATATGAACACATGAAAAAATTAAACTTCGTATATGCACAGAGGTTTTTCTAAGAGTCTGTCTCTGGCAGAGTGGTTTGCACTTGAGGGTGTGTTGCTTTTACCATTATGTAGCACACAGGCAAACGTGAGATTGAATGGACAGTCAGAGCAATGTCTTTTCTCCTTCCTGTGTTCCCAGTGAAGGTCAGATCCGATGCTGTTTTAGTTACCACCTGTGATCTGATCTGGAAATTTAGATTGATAAAGGCTACCTTTCTGCTAGTTTTGAACTCAAGGCTTTAGAGAGGTGTTTCCAAGCAGGTACGCCAACCCTGATAATTTGTTGTAATAATTCTGCTTCTTGAAGTTGTGAGGCCCAGGGAGAGTCACGCCAACATCAGGGATTTGGTTTTATTATCTGTGAAATGAGAGGGGGTCAAAACAAATGCTTTCTAACATCCCCTCACCTCTGAAATTCCATGATTTGGTGATATAAATAATGACCGAAGTTGCAGTTATATCCCATCTCATCCCCTTTTGTTCTCTTGACTCCTAGAATATTATTGAAATGATTGGATTAAATTGTGAAAGTAATTTTAGTCATATCTTATGCTATTTCTGATAATTCACTTTTTCACATAATGTGTATATATATACATATATATACATATATATATTTATATTTGCATTTATATGTAACTATATATACATACGGGCCTCCCAAGTGGCGCTAGTGGTAAAAAACCTGCCTACCAATGCAGGAGACATAAGATGTGGGTTCGATCCCCTGGGTCAGGAAGATCACTTGGAGAAGGAAATGGCAATCCACTCCAGTATTCTTCCCTGGAGATGCCCATGGACAGAGGAGCCTGGCAGGCTACAGTTCATGCAGTCACACAAAGTCAGACACAACTGAAGCGGCTTAGCACGCACACATTCATACATATATATTTTTCTCAGTCCGGAGAAGAAGGATTCTATTTCCTAGAAAACTGAGATAATCCAAGGCAAAAATGTGACCTGAGTCCTGGTAAAAAGATCTCACACTGTAGTAGAGACGGGATTAGGTTCTAATACTACAGGTGTTATTTAGTCGCTCAGTTGTATCTGACTCCTTTGCAACCCCTTGGACTCTAGCCTGCCAGGCTCCTCTGTCCATGGGATTTTCCAGGCAAAAATACTGGAGTGGTTTTCCATTTCCTTCTCCAGGGCATCTTCCTGACCCAGGGTTTGAACCCATGTCTCCTGCCTTGGTAGGTGGATTCTTTACCACTGTGCCACCTGGGATTCTTGTGGCAGCTTTTTAGATTTTATTCATTGATTTATTTATACTAAAGTATCTAGTTTCTGGTACTAGATCCTGGAAATTTCCAGCCTCCTTGATATGAAACAAACTGATAACTTTGGGATGTCAGTTTCTGTAGCCACAGGATATGTGTAATAGGATACAGTATGTTCCTCCAACAAATCCTGTGAAGAGTCAGCTCTCAGGACTGTGCTTTCAAGTCACTTGTATACAGCTTCATTTTCACCTTTGACTAGAGCTGGGAACTCGCACAAGGCTTAGTGATCAGCATAATCAGGGACAGGGTGTACCAGTAAGTTCTGCTGAGGTTAGAGGGTGGAGAGAAGGGTGGAGCAAGATAAAACACCAGCTGAAACATCTGGCAGCCTTTCTGTAGGAATGAATTGAAGCAGGAGTGGAGGTCAAAGTGTCTTGCAGGCAAACATCTGATAATGGTTGTCTTACCCTACATTTCTGATATTTTGTTTCCATCTCATGATAATGCAAGTATTTGGAGGAATGTCACAATAGAAGCCTCATTATTTTTTAGAAAATCAGATCTGATATCATTTGGCTGCTAAAAATAACAGCAACAACTATTCTGGGAGTTTTTCAGCAATGCAGAAGATTCAGATTCAACTTAAGATTGTGACACAATAATGCCTGGGAAAATTTAATATTTTCTTTAGAATGAATAAAAATAAAGTATACATATTTACTTATTTTCTAGTTTTCAATTTTTGATATAAAATTTACATTTGTGTTTAAAACATGCCAAATAATTCAAAGGATACAAAATAAAAATGAAAAACAACAATCTCAGACCTCTTTTCCCTAAACTTATGCTTGAGGTCTGTGTCAAGCCAGGCATGTTGCAAAGTACTGAGGATATAATTTCAAATATGATATGATCCCTGCTTATGAGGAAATTTAAAGAATAAGAAAGTTGTCAAGTGGACAGCAAGTGTGATGCAGTGCTATGATGGGGCATGCTCTCCTAGAGGAATCGGTCATTTCTGTCTGGTAAGGGTGGAGATCAGGAAAGATTTGAAAGAGGGAGTGACCATTGAGTAGACTTAACTTTAAGAAGTTTCTTGTGATATGGGAACAGAAATGGGAGGGTTTAAGGGGCTGGGGTTACTACAGGCAGCCAGACACATAAGAGGAAGGCCATGGAAGTCTTATGTAACTGTATTACAGAGAATGAAATATATTATGGCTAAGGGGTAGAGTTGGAGGGGGATGTTTTGAAGGAATATGAAGCTGGATGAGCTAATACCCAGCTTTTACTTTAGTCTAAGCATGAGGTGAGAAGAACTTGAGCTAAAGTAGTGTGGGAATGAGGAGGAGGAATTAGATATGAAAGATATTGAGAACTGAGTGTTTAAAGTATTGGTGACCAGTTACAAAGGGGGAAGGCAAGGAAGAGGAGAGCATAGGTTGACTGGGTTCCATCTGACATTATGTAGATGGTGCTTCCATTAACTAAGAAAGCTACAGGAGGACTAGGAAAGATGATGGATTCAGTGTGAGTGTGACATGCTTGTAAGAGAAGGCACCAGCAGTTGGAGTTGCCTAAAGGCACTTGTATGTATTGCATGTGGGTCTGAGGTAAGGATTCTGAGCTACATGTATGAAGTGAAGTGAAAGTCGCTCAGTTGTATCCGACTCTTTGTGACCCCATGGACTCTACAGTCCATGGAATTCTCCAGACCAGAACACTGGAGTGGGTAGCCTTTTTCTCTATGGGCTCTTGGATTCTTTCCCAACTGAGCCACAAGGGAAGCCCATAGGCTTGACCAAAAAGTTCATTTGAGTTCTTCCATACGATGTTACAGAAGAACTCCAACATTTTGGCCAACCCAGCACACGTGAGAATTGATGGCTTTTAGGCTGGGATTAAACTTTCTGAGTGAGATCAATGAGGAATGTAAAATGAAAACAAAGTAAGACAAAACACAGGAGAAGAGTGCCAAGGAGAGAATCTTGGGGAATATAGTTGAGGGGCAGGCTGAGAAAGAGACCCAGTAGGACCCACTAACAATGAGTGATAGACAGTAATGGATGTGGAGCAGGAGAGAGAGGCTTCTAGGAGGCCAAGAGACACTAACTGTGAGAGAAATGGACAAGCCAATGGTAACAAATAGCAAATTTTAAAAATAATAAACAATACAGCAGAGAGTTCAAGCAAGAGGAAGTTTAAAAACAAATTTATTAGAAATAGGAAGCAAAATAGATTATTGGCCATTTTTCATAGCAGGGGTTTGAAAGGAACTAGTAGTTAAGAAAGAAAATACATAATGTAAGTAATTTTCTCTTCATTCCTTTTTTCCCCCCTTTCTGTCTTCTTTTTTGAGGAGCCTGGCTGTAAATAGAAAAGGTAAAATGTTAGAGCTAATGTGTTGTGGGGTTGTATGAGTGCTTTCTAAAATTATTTTTCACAGTGTAGGAGATTCTAACTCAATTGCAGATTGGAAAGAGGTGTAACTACAGCACTTCCCAGTAATAATGAACCAGAAAGAGAATTAAATAACTATGTGTCAGATTTCCTGCCTAAATATAACCCTATCAAAAAATGTGAAAACGTATTTGTGTTTAAGGGGAAAATAATAGTAAGAAGAGAACCTTTATTAAATTCAAGTTCCACTTTTCCCTTACTCATATTAATTATAATGTTTTTTTAATTTTTCCAAGATTTTTAGCTTCATTTCCTCAACCACAGCACAAATGCTTCATTCAAGAGACATGGCACAGGAACCTCTCTGGCAGTCCAGTGGTTAAGACTCCGCTCTTCCAATGCAGGGTGCTTGGGTTCCATCCCTGGTTGGGGAACTAAGATCCCATATGCTCTGCAGCCTCCCCCTCGCCCCCGCCTCCACCCACCAAAAGCAAAGAGCTCCATGATAACATAAATAAAAGAAAAAACTGTGTAGAAAAAGAGTCATGGCATAAACCACTTCTAACTGTTTCAACATATCTTTAATTCATGCCTACTAAAAGTCAAACATTATGGTAGGCACTGGGGAGACTCTATTTTTAGGTGCTTGGAGAAGTGGAAGGAATGATCTGAATTGCTGATTAGAACAGCATGTCATGTACTGCTATTGAACATATGTAGGAAGTCACGGAAGCAAAGAGGAATCAATAAGTTACTGACAGTGTTTACACATGTGGGTATCTTTGAACGAGGTGACATTTGATCTAGTCTGTAAGTCTAAGTTCAGGTTTTCCAAGAAGAGCAACTCTGGCCCTGGGTGGCCTTTCCAGAGTGACGACCACATGTGGAAAGACAAGCACAGAGATAAGAGCCAGCTTGGTGCAGGATATTCATGGGAAAAAGAAGGAAGACAAAACTACAGAGGGAAGAGATCAGGCATAGATGTCAGATTGGAATTTAGATCCAGACAATTTTGGGAATCATCAGCAGAGTCAAACAGGATGGCAAGGTAGACTGTTGTTCTGAAGAATGTGTGGTCCTCAAAGGGAGGGAGTAGTGGGGGGGTGGTGTTGGGACAACTGAGGCTGAAGAGTAGGAGGGGATGCATATATGGAGGACCTTTTATAGCCAAGG